GCGAATTTCCCTTGCTCTCTTTTTACAGAAACACCAATCCAAAAGGTTTTGATTTACACGATATACACGCAACACTGCATTGAAAATAATGTCAACGTAAATACGTCTTAATTTTTATGCATGTCCACACTCCTGTGTTCAACGAGAAAGTTATGTGTTATTAGAGGCCGTTAATGTTACTTTAGACCGAACGCAAGCCATTGTCATAGTGATTTATCATATTATCTGAATTAATAGTACTATGGTGTTATAAATGTAACACGCACACGCTTTGTATCATTTTCATAATGCCCATACTATTAGGTCTACACGTAAGCGATTCATTACCTTTAGTTTCAGGTGATCAATAGATATATTGTAGTGTCTTATTTTACTAACAGACTCTGACAATTTTTTTGCCATTCTGCGAGGTAAAACTCCGGATTTTTGATAATTGGTGCGAACACATAAACAGTTATTACATAGTAACACGGGCTATCCATTCCAGCAAACATTATGCCGGTCTAAACTTATAAACTATTCATTTGTAATTTGCATCTTATACACCTTCGAAACGTTGAACCAAAAGTGGCTTTGCTGCTTGTTTAAATGATCTTAACATGTTTATTTTTGACAGTAGAATCAAAATATTTTAAATTATGTTTCACTCACACCTTTAGAATGCTATTTCGAACAGTCACGTTTTTATTGCAATAAACAGAAAGCCTAAAAATGTGGATAAATAAACACGCACAGGCGCAGTTTGATCGAAAATTTCATTAACTATGGATGAGAAATTCATGTACATCATGCTGAATAAAATAAATCAGTTGCCTGTCAAGGGCCCCGGCATGTTGTTTTGAACCACGCCAGGGCCACTGCCACAATCTACGCCGAATATGTTACCCTGTGCTCCCGCGAAAATAAAGAAGACTGGAGTTGAGAGGGCACAACCGTTCACTAGATAGCTCAACAAAATTGTGTCGTGTACAATTACGGTTCAGTGGACATGTACAAAATAAAAAAAGGTGTCTGTGAGGTCACATAAATAAAATGGGTGGTGTTGGGACATGCACAGTGGTTAATAAACCAATGGCATCACGTGACTGACGGGCAGGTCGTGCACAGTGGGGACGTGTGTGAGGCTGCGACGATGGGGGTGTATATCGTGAATCAACATGATTCACTACATGCCTTTGTGTGACGAGTTTCTGTGTGCTTCTTCACATTGTTAACTGTAAAAGATTTTACTGCTTAAAGCAATGAAAATAATTGCTTGCGAAATATTTATTTTTCGTCCATTGTGTCCCTTTACACGAAACTACATCTGACATTTGCTTGGAAATGCATATACCGACAAAACACCATCTAGTTTACCGAAAATAAATTACAAACTATACATATATATGCTACTATTCCATGTCTTCAATACCAGGTTTGTTGCATTAAAATTCTACTCCAGCTTCTCGAATTTCGCGGAATCAATTTAGGACATAGAGTCGAATTGACAATTTAGGCTCTGATAGCATATATAAATTTTTGGACAATCGAGAGTCTGAATAATGTTTTCACAAAATCGCATGTCATGGACTTAATAACTCTGAAAAAATATGTATTTGTCATTTCGATACAAAGTTAAATCGATAAAAATCAAGCAAATTGGCATGCGTATTTTTGAGCACTGATATTATTTATAACACTAAGTCCAAGAGCAACTTGAATTAAAAAATTCTTGATTTTTTTATATTACCCTTATTTTCATTTGAATTATGTAGGTCTGAAACGGCGAGCTAATGTAGCCTGAAAAGTTGTTCAAATACATCAGTTCAAATCGCTCAACAATTTAATTTGGCCTCAGATTGTCGGTCGGCTTTAGTTTTGTCAAGAGGGGAGATAGGGTCTTTCAAATAATTATTTTCGCGAATATATTTATTTTAATCCGAAGGATTTTTCTAAAACCCATTTCTTGCCCCTGATTCTTTAACACACCCCTCCTTAGCTCGTCTCCCTTTCGGTGCGACCAGTTAATGTGCTTGTATTTTGTCATCTCTATCTCATAATCCCCAGAATTTGTCAAAATAATGCCTTCTTTCTGGTTCTACTTGTTTCTTTAATCTTGTGACACGAATCACGCATTATTGTGTTAAAGCCATTTTTATTGTCCTTTATCAAGGTTTTTGTGCAAGGTTTGGATATCGTGATCTTAGGTGGTTGTTTTTGTTTTTAGGTACCTCAAATGTCCAACTGGTCATCGACTTTGACTTACTGCACTAGACTAGTTACTCTGTTCAGTTGCATTTCGTATGTTCTGTCATTATTACTTTCGTCTGGTGGAAATGCCTTCGTATGGTATCAGCGTGCCCTAATTGCAAATGCAGCAACGTCGGCATTGCGCTTACGTCAACGAATTGTTGAGCAGGGCAGCCAACTCCATCTTACTCAGCAGAGCCTTCTGCAATTAATCTCAGAAGATTCACTGCACTATCTACTCTATTCTGTTATGTTCTTGTTGGCACCTCCTGTTACCGGTGAATTTCTTAGATCTCTTGTTTTGTAACAAGGGTATTTTAGCGACAATGAATCGGCATAATTGATGCAATTTATGACGTAAACCTTATGGTCGTATTCAACCGTTTGTGTAGGAAATCTAGGTACCATATTATTGCTTGATAATTTAAGCCAATAAACGGCTGATTAATCAAACTGATCTGTCTTTAGATTGTAGGCATTGATTCTGCACCCTGGTTTTGTAAAGTATTTTTTTGCAAATAGTCGCAGCGGCCAAAATCAACAAATTTTCACTGTCTCCTTTTTCGTTTTTTAGTTGCGATTGTACCAATATTTTGTTTTGCCTTTCTTCACTGCCTTGGATTTACTCAAAATCTTCTACAGGTGAGATTAATCGGTGTTATTCTCAGTGGTTAACGTTTCCCGAACTAAATGGGTCGTCATGAACCTGCTATTGAATTATAGTAATTTGATTTGATGGTCATGATTCACAGGCCGACTTGCATTTCTGTACTCGTGCATTAGTCTTTTGGAGATTTTTTAGCTCCGCCAGATGCTGTCATGAGTTTTTTGAAAGCTTATAATCCTCATTGCATTTTTATGTCATTTTTTCCCGTCAGTGACTACCTCGAGTTTCGATAATGTTGACAAGCAGAGCCGTGTATTTGTACCAAGCATGGTTGTTTTTACAGTGTTGTGTTGGCAGACGGTTTATTTTGTTATCTAATTTTGATGATCTTTTTATGCTTGTAATACCTTTCCTGCAAGGGGCTTTACTTTTTCATTTGGCTCCCCGATAGCTTTATGCTGGCGAAACTAGTTCCACACCGTCATGGGCTTCGAAAGTTCGTTCTCTCATCTCAAAGGCACAAAACCATGGCGTTAACCTACTAAGAGTTGTCGCAATTCACGAAATATTGCTGATGGTCGTCGCAATTGTGCTAGCCTTCTCTGGACGTAATCTACTACTTCCCTTCTTCTATTATCACTTTCTCAAGCTCCGCTATGCCTCACGGCGAAATCCATATTGTCGGTCTGTTTGCAAAAGTAGTTTTATTCGTGCTCGTGTTCGATTGTCTGTATAAATTTATCTAGTTAGACATTCGTAATTTTTTTCATTGTCGAGATTCCTAGTATTTGTAGATTTAAATTAGGTGTTTTTTGCTGCGGTTACTATTTTTTTTCGAAACCGTTTAAAAGTTTCAATACGGCTATTAGGCCCCTGTCACTTATGGTTTAACTCTGCTGTTGGCTGATGTAAATGGGTGTCCTATTTATCAATTTCAGTGATGACACGATATTTTCATTTAAATAGTGTAATGCCTCTCTTCATCATGAACCTAAATCTACTGTGATCTATCATGAGCCTTTTGGTTTATTTTTATAAGAAGTATTCCGGGCTTGTAACTACTCACTGTTGGTCACCTAACTTTCTGCGTTCTCTACTTAGACAAGTATTCGCCGAGCTCCGGGTCTCATTTTGCCAACTAGCTTGTCATCAAAGTTGCCCTCGATTCGCGAAATCCATCATTCATAGCAGTATTAACTTTATTTCAAGACTCAGTCCACCTGTTCAGGCGGCATAAGTTATCAGAAAGATGTGCTTAGCTGCACCCGACCGCAGTCGGTGAGTTTCGACTGAACTCTTTTTAGATTACACTTATGTTTAAATTTCCCGTTTCTCTATAACACCTGTTGACTTGAAATTTATTTTTTTTTATTTACATTGGTTTCACTGCTTTCTACATGGACTTTTTCTATTTCGGTCGTCTTTGTTAAAATTATTTCCTGCCGATGCTCGTACCATTAGTCATTGTGATGGGGCTTGAATTTCTACTGGGTTTTTAACATGTAAACCTACTATACTGGAGATTCATCCGTTCTAAAATAACCTTCATAATTTTCTATTTCCAAGTTCCATGTTGCCTGCTTGATTTTCAAGGCCTATAAAAAGCATGGGGAATGAACGTCTTCTATTTGGCACTTTCTAGACGGCATCGGCTTAAAACAATTGCTTGGTTTCGTGTGACTTAATATACCATTGTCCTAATGTTTGCTTGGTGTTCTCGAAATTTAATTTCGCAGGCACGGAATGTTCATTTTCCGTTCCTTATTTCTTCAATTGTGTAATGAACGTGAACTAGAAGTTACATCAGTGTTTCCACATGAATAGACCATTGATGGTTATGGTAAAACCACTTGGAGCATGAATTCTTTATCATTTATATACCGCTAAATGATGACACGCGGATACAGGCTTACCTTTATTCATTGGAATTTTCATGTTAGAGGGCCAACTAATGTGCTGTTCAATATTGTCATTGTTATAGGGGCCTATTATAGGACGTCCGTGTATCGATAAAACTCTAAGACGACCTTATAATTTGATTCCTTTTGTTTCATGTTTCTATTCCTCCTCTAGGTTGATCGTTGAAGGCTGTTAATTCTGGATTGCGTAGTCGGTCAGTTTCCAAAGCTTCAGCGTCACATTCTCAATTCCTCTGTCTTATTATTGAAATGCACTTCATTGTGAATAAATCCACGGCTCTCACCATTTTTCCCAAATACTTGTACTTTTAGACCATTTGTTTAGCTATAGCTTTATCCACATTAGTTTTTCCTTTACATGGAAACCCATTCACAAAAGTGGTAGGTTTTGTCAAGTGATCTGTTTGTGTCACTGACAGATTTGAGGTTTTGTCAATCAGCGATTTCGAGACTCAATTTTAAGCGGCACTCCGGATCGCATATTTAGGCTAGTTATGTTCTTGTACATCAATCTCATGTACGGACTCCACTGTAAGAGGGATGCATGGTTACCTGTAATTCGAGTGATACTGATAGGGTCCCAACGGGCATTGCGCTTGCGATATAATTCATAGACGTCAAATTAATGATTTATTGCCTTCTGAAGTAGCCAACTTAGACATTTTCAGATGGTTAAATATTGCTTTCCATAACATTGGGAAATAGGGTTGAGGTTCCGGGGTCGCCTTCATCTGCATCTGAGCTAGCATTAAATTCGAAAGAGCTGCTGAAAAAAGTTCTGATCAGAGACGTAGGCATATATTATGGGATTAAATTTTGCATAATGTATGCGTATTTTGAATCAAAGGTATGCTCAAGTAGTTTAAGTGATGCATGCTTTTAATCAGCTGAATTCAAGTAATCTTAAATATTTACGGATATCACAGATTCATGTATATGATTCTGCAGCAGTCTTTTATAATTCATTTATGCAAAGCAAATAGTCAAACTTTTTTTATTTACAGATGCGGATAATTGTTTAAAAAGGTAAAACAATCTGATTAAAGATTCATGCTTCCCATTTAGGACTTGTTTAAATTTATTAAGAAATTGTATACTTTTTCGAGGTATCCCGTGTGTACTTTATTTCAACGAGTTCTGCAGGCATACATTTGACGAATTTCCGATTTGCCAGTTTGTCTTTAGGTTGATGTTATAAGCATGGGTAAGTGCATTAGTGGTGTGTGCTTTCCTTTTTTAGGCTCCTTACTACCTTTTTTATCCCTGAAAGTGGTCAGGCATCTAAATTCAGCTTAGCGTCAATCAAATAACTGGTCAGCCGGTATCGTCTTGTTCTGTCCGTGAAGAACGATTCTGCTCAACCCATAGCAGGCGAAAATTTAGCCTTTCATATATCGGATATGACACTGTCACTACACCGGCCGTATTATTTCTAAAGAGAATAACTCAAAGGAGTGTAGTGCCCTGAGTGGCACGCCTATACAAGACTGTGATGCAGTGTTGCGTGTATATCGTGTAAATCAAAACCTTTTGGATTGGTGTTTCTGTAAAAAGAGAGCAAGGGAAATTCGCGAGCGAATGCGTCACTAGCGTCTTTGAGTCATAGTATTGTGTGATTGTGCCATTAAATACTGTTGTGTTTGCACACTTTTGCACGATTTGAGTGGTGGTTCATCAATTATCGTGCTGATATGGCATTCCGAAGTGACTCCAACGTTAAACTCTGTTGTTCCTCCACTTGGCGATTGATATCAAAGAACATCAAATGGGATTGCAGACAGATTAGGACATGTGAACTCGGGGTATTTAGCTGTTTCGTGTGGCGTTACCTATGTTAAGTATCTTTATAAAGCTTACCTGTGCGAGAAATACGTGAGTATCAGTCCATCTATGATTTCTAGCAAGTTATTGTGTCTCAGATGTGTCTAGCTACATAGTGTAGGTCTTCCGTCTGTGCTAAAGTAGTGCCATTGGACGGTGGTTTTCCTCCTGTTTTGGTGTAAACTAACTCCTGTCTTTCTACCACAAGGTGTGTTTCGCTCCTTAAGTGTGCTTGAAGCCTTTCTTTTCACTTGTGGACAAAGTAAAATGAATCCCGTCTCCTGTACGTGATCAGCGTAGGCTGAAATGGGAAGAGTATCGTCGGGGAGAACATCGGACAGACTTTGGATCTCTTCTAGATCAACCCCAGGGGAAAATTGCGCATCTAATTTTGGTTTCATACGGTATGCCCTGAATTTATTTTTAGTGACTAGGTTTGTAGGTCATAATCTGGTTCCTTCATAATTCTTTTTATACGAGATGAGATTTTGTTGGTTTAGTGGACTTGTCGGCTAATTTTAAAATTCATGATTTCATTTCTGTAGTGCTCGGATATTCCAGCGCCAAAGCGAGACTACAAATTCATCAAAGGAAGCGGTCACAGCTGTCTTATTTGACAATAAAGCTCTAATGATTTTGTTCAACAACGCCGCAGCTCCTCGTGACAAGTCATCGTGTCAGGATTGTTCGTTCAACTTATAATTCCCCTAAGTGCGCCCTTTTGCCTTCCAAATTCTTAGACAGTGAGCTGTTTTGCTACTTTCACTGCCAGTCAACGATTTCATTGACGCAGAAACCATTCAATTTCAACCTCCTGGTACATTATCGCAGATATTGTTTGCTCTAACTTATAGGCACTCGTTCACCGATCACAGAGGTATTGCCCTTGTTTTTACCTTTCTGTCGCTGCATTATCGTGCATTATCCCACCTTTGTATGGAACGAATTGATCGCTACTGTAATAAATCGTACTAGCTAATAAATCGAGTTTGGTTGTTGGGTCGTGATCGCTTTTTACACATAAGACTGGACCGTCTGTTTGTTTTCGTCAGTATTAACAACATTTGTGACGGTTTTTTGCCAGTGCTCCATGTGGTCGAATCCACACGGTATAATTTAACAGAAGGGGAACTTGTAGTTTTATAACCGCAAGTGACGTTCTGTTCGGTAGGTTAGCATAGCGATTGCACATTTCGTAGCATAAAAGGACCTGGTGATTATCTGAGTAAAACCTGTTCTTGAAATAAGTTGGACTAGTTGAAGAGAACAAGTAACAGTTAATCATGACACATGAACGCGCCAAAAGTCAACGTTATGTCTGTTGAAGTAATGTTGCAGTAGGTGGGGCAATCAGATTTGCCATTCGATTGTGAGAAAATGTGACTAGTATCAAACAGAGTGCTTCAACAACAAAACTCATTTGAGGTCAGTTCATATGTTGTTACGTTTAGTTTAGACTGTTGTGTTCTACAATGCTCTTGGACACTCGACACTTTGTGTATCTTTAGCACGGCTTCTACATAGGTCTTGGTTACCGTGTCGAAATGCTTTGTCCAATTTTTGTATCGAAGGTAATAATCACTGTCTCCTGCCTCCAACTAATGCTAGCCGACTGATGCCTGCCAAGTCGATAGCTTTGAATGACTAAGCTACCCGATTTTTTCTCCTGTTCGTATGTACCGCAGTTGCAGTTTTATTTCGTGCTTTCCGCCTTTAAGTTGAGGGTTAGTAAAGTCGGTGGTCTCTTATTCAAGCTGTTAGCCTAATATTGGGATATTGCTAGCCGGACACTTAGATACAGACTTCTTGAATTAATTTTAAGTGTAATCGTATTTTCCCCCTCTTTCTGTTGCCATTATCAAGCGCTTGTGACGTTGGAAGCTGTTTTAAAATGTATTTCAGGACTACTCTTTTCTCGTAACGACAACTGAAATAGTTAAGTCACAATAATGACCTGTTTTCATTGCTTAGTTATGCTACTTTTTCTGTTTGGGGTTTATTATTTATCCCAAGCATTGCGTCTAACAAATTTGTTTGCAAATTTAGGTTCAGTTTTTTATTACCTGCCGAAATGTCTCTCCCCTCCCGTGCTACAAAGAGATCTAAGTGGCCACGATCACGGAATCCTGGGGTAACCTGCGTAAAGCCAAAGGTTGCCCTGACATCGGCTTACACACCACTTCTCCAGTTAGAGCGAAGAATGTCCGAGGTAGTCAGCGGTCAGGGGGTTACTGTGAATGGACTGCTAATTCTTATGCGAGGTCTCCCCGGCTCTGGGAAAACCAGACTCGCAAAGTAATTGTCAATTTGTACTCATACCTGTTAGTTGCACTTTCCTCCATGTTTAGAGTCAAACACAAAGGTTTCACCCCATTTTAGACGTTGAGGTTCTCCAAATTGGTTATCTGCAGATCATGGTCCAGTATCTGGCGTGGTTGTGTCCCACAGCACAGTAGCACAGCAACTGCCCCGTCTTAATCCTGTGTTTGGGTCACAAAATGAGTTAAGAAGTATGTGTAGTAACTGCATGGAGTCCACCACTGAAAGTGGTAGGAACAATAGTGACTCTTTAAATTTTATATGATGCGAAACAAATGAACTTGGAGGGCTCATTTGCAGGTCACGAGTCATGCACATTGGACCATACACAGAACCGATAAAAAATACACCTAACTGATCTTTTACTCGATTATTACTAGTTAGTTGGGCTGGATCCATCATCAAGTGTCTGAATAGCGACAAGACATTTTTTTGATGTTGCGATGGGGAATCTGACCCCATGTAGCTACGAAGATGAATGCAAACTCTGGCTGATACTTTCCTATTCAAGTTGGTTGCTTGTTTTAAAATAGGAATTTCCGCGAATTGAGTTCGATTTTTTCCTCGGTTGCTAGCCACTTTTATCTTTATCCGTTGTGTATTTGTGCCAATCCGAATTTGTGTAATTTTAAGCCGCTTGGCCTCCTGCTATCCTTCTATGACATCAGTTGTCAGTCTGGACAACCATTTTGGCAAGTGGCTGCCCGGAACTAGCCCAGCTCCCACTGCCTCCGATCTGGCGGACGCTCAGGCAGCCTGCAAACAACTGGGTGAGATTTCGCTGTTGAAATTCCACCAGCTACTCGCATTAAGTAGACAGACAAGTGTCACAATTAAGTCATTTTTTGACTGAACTGGAATAACTTAATTAACAAAATTGTACAAATACAAACAAATACGTTGAAGGTATTTTCACGGTGATTTTATTTGTCAACTGATTTTGAAGTAAAACCTGTCCTTTTTTAAGGGTAGTCGTGTATCACGTAGCAGGGATTTTAGTTGAATAGTACTGATTAGCGAACCCTGTGTTTGCAGAAAAATTCCCCAACCTCAACAAACCATCATGTCGTTTTTTTAACATCTACCCATCAATAACTTTCTGGGCTTTGGGTGTTATGTACTGCTCACCACTGAGTGCCACTTAATTTCACAGGATCGCTTTTTGGTTATTGCTAAGTACAAGTTACTGACCGCAGAATTCTTTTTCAATCGGACTGTTATGGTTGCCTTCTTCGAAAATGTCACTGCCACTTCCAACGGCATTATCGTTTAAAATGTCCCCAACCTCCAGTTCCTCTGGTTGTGAATCTTTCATGCAGTGATAACTGTTATTTATTCGCATCTGTAAACCAGCCAAGTATCAGAACAGCAATCGCATACACTTCTGCGTCTTCTAGTTTTGCAGAAAAGGTTTTGCGTATACAAATTAAGGAACTATCCGAGACCTTACATGCAACGAGGTATTAGCAACGTACCCCGTTAGTGGCTAAATTTAAAATGCGCAATCCTGTAGGATCTACCTTGCGGTGTTGTTTTAAACTTGCGTTTTTAGGCACCTTTTACCCTGCCAACGTGTACCTAAGTTCTATTTGTTCTTACGTCACCGACCGTACGTAGGTTTTGCTGCCTTGTGCTCGGGTTCTGCATGCAAAGTCTACATTGACAGTCCAGGCCTGGCGTGCAATTTTCATGGGTATGCCATACCTGGCATTTTTCTCGTGTTCTCACCTTTACAACATCTTTCAGGGTCTGTGCTATCATGAGTCGTGTTTTCGTGTTTGTGCATGCGTATGCTGACCTAATTCTTTGTAAAATTTGGTTAAGTGCATAAGCATACAAGTGCGCTTTTATGTGTGTTTAATCCTGTGTTCCAATGCGGTCTTCCTTGGTTGTTTGAGAGCCTATTTTCTTTAAGCCAGGTACGTGTTTGCTGAAGTTTCTACTTTTTGGATTTACTGGATGCTTGATGCACTGTATAATGCACTCGATTTGCCTGTGAAAAATTTTTTGCTCTCTTATAAAAGTGTGCTTGATTCCGACATCGCCACTAGATTCTCCGAATGGATTCGGCCCGTGTATTTACCCAATATGTTGGTCGGTGTGCATCGAATTATCTTTAAGTGAATCTATTTCTTACTGCGATAAGAATCAATGACGTTGTTCCACATATTTTCAGTTTTAACAGTTTAGTGCAAATTATTTGAAAGTCCTGGTTCTCAATATCTTGAGGTGCTTTTTACTCTGAATGACCTTCAATGAACCAGTGTGTGGTTCAGGTTCAACCGACCCAAAGACCCACGTGAACTCAGTTTTTGTGACGGAGAAAGTTTTGAATTTGATCTCTCCTTTCCTACTCCACTATTTGCGATGGACGCGTTCTCACGGATTCCCGATACCACTCGACGCCTAGTTTTCTTAAGCCCTTCATCGCGGTGCATCTTTTGTGTCTGTGTCCGATACCGCATCAATATATTGGAGAGATAGTTCTAAGGCAATGCAAGTTTGTCTTTGAAGCGTGTGTTTTTGTATGGATGCTAAGCGCGCAAAATGTCAAAGACCAATTTTGCTTGATCAATTTTCAGTTTCTTGATATTTCCGGGTGTTCACGAAGAATGTTAGTTTTAACAGTAACTCTTGTATTTGATTGATCCCGCAAGATGACTTTATCTCTGTTTCTATGTCAGTAAAATTAGTCATTTAACTGTTCAATTGACCCCCGAAATTCGAATACTACACAATCATATTTGTGGGAGATATTTTTATAGCGCTCAGGGGTCTAATTTCCACTATTATTGGAACGGTTTAATTGATGTGTTTATATGTCTTGTTGAGATATCAAACCGCTTAATTCAAATTGCTCGTATTTAGTATTCTACCTGACCATGATTTAGCCAACGCTTTAGTGATTGGGATGGTTTAAACTGCCGTGTACTTTGTATCATCATTGTTGGTAGAACCGATTTGAAACAATGATAATTTAAAAACGCGACGAAAACTACCGATGGATTACGCCACATGCAACGTCCTCTGTTTGAACAATTTTGGCTGGTTTTAGTTTCTTTCACTAAAATTCATGTGATCGAAACCAGTTGGATTACCTGATACCTTTATGATATTTACTAAACCACCATTATAACCCTAAAGATGTCGTTCCCAAATAATTCGTGTTTTTCTGGTTGAAGCTTGGTCTGCCATGCAGAATGGAGTCCGCTTCGTCATCGTGGACAATGAAAATCTGAGGTACTCTGACATGCTGCCTTACGCATCTGAAGTAAGATTCAAATACCAATAGTTGTTGTCGTATTGTCTAACACAATTTGGAAATTGTAAAATCATAAATTATTTAGCGTTTATTTTGTATTCGGACCTTAATGAGCTGACCACATTATTGTTTTATTCGTTGTTAGCACCCGCAACGCAAGAGACCAGGGAATATAGTGAGAAATCGACAACTATTTTAAACTTGCCAAGCCTGGCGTCTCTTATTATGCAAATGATTGGGTCTTGGTCGAGCGTAATTTTTTTTTTCAAGTCGAAGGTCATTGGGCCTTACAATGGTTCACACACACGGGTGAATGAGGAGATAGGTAAATAACCATAAAATGGTAAATTCTTTCCAAATATAGTAAAGCAACACTTTTGCTACAGCTCCCTGATGTCGTTTTTCATATTCTACGACAGAATTTATAAACCGAAGATGAATGCGTCTGATATTTTCCTCCCTTAGTTCACACATGGGATGAGAAATATCGGGTCATTTTAATAGAGCGACCGAAAATATTGTTGATCTTCCAATCAACAGAATTAAAATGGCAATTCTTACTCTATACAGAGGTATATCCTAGTCATCGATGGCCAGTCATTTGTTAGTCTTAGTTTCTATCAGGGCCTGTACCTTTCCAGTTACGGCATGGGAGAGAATCATTGCATCGGGGTTTGCTCCTCTCTCAACTCGTCACAGGTTCTCCTCGGTGTGCCATTCTTATTGAAGTAAAATGCTGGTGTGATTAAGCGCATTACACGCGTTTAGCTATTCTTCACGAGCTCGTACAAGGTCAACGCAATGTCGCATAACATACGGATGCTGCTAGTAGTGCCCACCTAAGTAGCTACTAAAACCTTTTTTGGTGCCATTAATTTCCAATCACGCTAAATCAGCTCGTTTCTAACGTGTGTTCAGCTGCGGCACACACAAATGATACAGCAAACTAAAGTACTATCAACTCCTGCTAGTATTTAGCTGCCATATTAATGGGTTTATACAAGGCTGATCGTTTCACAAAGTCACAACTTCATCAGTAAATTGCGTATTTTAAATATTTTGTTTTATGAGGATTCGGTCTAGCGCATGCAATTTCACACGCTGTTTTCAGTTATCTAATTGCTATTTATTCATTGATAAAGATAGCTATGTCATTACACATTGAACCGTTGATATTTAATCGCATCTGACACCTAAAATTTCCCTAACCGTGTAGAGTCTGGTGTTGTAAATAATTTTCGCGTTTTCCCTCTAGGCCTTGAAAAACAACTATGAAGTTCATTTTCTGGAGCCAGATAACCAATGGCGGTATTCGTCGCGGGCTTTGTCCCGGTACGTTACTTAATTTTGTCTCGTTTGGCGCCAATAAAATGGCAGAATCTTTACAATTTATTAAATTGATCCTAAATTTGCATATTTAGCCCTGCCTACAAATGCATAATTAAGCCCTCCCCAACTGCCCTTTCGGGCTGCGGAGTGTAGTCGGATTCCCAGCAGTTTCATAACATAAGAGGTGGTGCCTTGAATTCACGTGGTTGGGGTCGGCGTGTTAATCTGTTGTACTCATGCCGCTTTTATAATGACGAAAACCAGGACTTAATTGCCGCATCTGCGTCGAACCAGTGCCCTCTTACCATAATAGAAAGGAACGTGTATTCGTAAAAGTACACTTCCTAGGGCGCAGCAATATTCAACCACACTGTCAATAAAGCACCGATTTGTTCTCACAAAATGCCAGTATTCGACAAAGTGGCTCGCCAGATGGTCATGCTTTGTAGAACGTGTCAGTAAAGTATTAGTCTGGACTCGATTGGCTGTTTAGCACAAGATGGCATCCTGTCATTCAATTATGCACTTCAGGTGGAGGCGGTGTACACGCCACACAACGAAATCTTTGTATGGCATTTTCTTGTGCCCACAGTTACGTTAGTTCAGTTATTTTGACCAGCCTTGTTGCTATTTTTGAAACCGTCGTTGCGGAAACAAAGAAATAAAAAAACTGTTCCTTTGAAACGATTTTAAGTTTGAGTGTTTTACTTATCTCCTTAATGTAGCAGCGGCCTCGATTTAAAGGCAGATTACAGATGCTGATTTCTCACAAGCTGAAGCCTTCAGTAAAATCAAATCGACGGTCCCAATTGAGTTTCCTGTTTTGCATGCGTCGAAATTTAAGTTGCTGAGTAGATTCAGTGACTCCCTTAGACCTTGTCAGTCTGTCTAGTAGGTCTGGTATTTACTGAGCTGAAGACGAGACGGCAGGTCTTTACTATGGTCACTGACGTGAATTTGCATCTACTCTCCTGAAGAATTTGAATAGTTCAACTCAATTCATGTTTGGTCTTCAACTGTATGCCTTTTCGTAAAAACAATGACTGCACAATGTTGAACCTTCGTTTTGGGTGTTTAGTGGTTTGTACCAATTTTTGACTGAACTTTTACCTGGGCAATGTTTATTTTGCCGTTAAAAATCTAAATGCAATAAACGGAATGTGTCGGGTTCCCCAATAGTGCATCATTTAGGCAGTTATCTTGGAAGATAAATGTACGGGATTTGTGTTTTAAAAGCCAAGGAAAGAGTTCTTTCGACTAACTGTATCGTAGAGTTTAGTTGTTGTCAGAACCGTAAATCTCTTGGTACAGTTTTTGTCAACTTTCTGTTCATTGTGTGCTGATGTCTCGCCGTCCTTGAAATCTCTCTAGTTCGGTGATACCCTGATTGGACTAGTCCTTTGATCGTTTGACACGATGACGACGCTTGTTTATTTCCTCAAGCATAGGCCACACATCAGTGGGTTCAAATGACAGCTGCCATGCAAACAACTTTTTTAACCTTATTACGCTGTTTTAATAGACTCCGACCCTGTAATTTTGCCTTCAATCTCCTCATCGTAATCCGAGTTGTTTTCGACTTCTACAGCGTCAGGAGAACACCAAGTTCGTGTTCCACGAAATGTTTGCTTACTGTTTCAGTAAAAATCGGCGTGGCCTGACCGAGAAGCAAATGGAAAGTCTCTTAGAACAGTTTGAGAGATTCTGCACGGCTGAGGATTTCGTTGCTGCACTGGCATCGCGTAAATCAACGTCATGCAAAACACCTAAGGTCTCTCTTCAAAATGATTTCCAGTTACAAAACAATGTGTCATTTGATCAAGAGCCTCCAATAAGGTGAGAGATGCCTTTTGACAAACTGCCTTGAGGATTCATTCCTGAAACTAGTCTCGCTATTTTGGTTGTTTCAACTAAATGCTGTAGAGAAGCAAATTTGAGGACGTCATTCTAATATTAAACGAGCACAGTGAATTGCAATAGTATACAATCCGTGATGCGGATTAAAGGGAACAATTAATTGGAATGCCGTTGATGCTGGTGTTTGTGTCGTCTCGTGAGTTACCTGATTTTCATCAAGCGAGGACAGCCATCGTTGCTGCGATGATAATAAAGGCTGCGATTGGGCTAGCGTTTGGGCCAATCGTGGAAGCGTCATACGGAAGCGTCCGGTGAAATCTTGTTTGGTCACCGTGATGTTTGAATCTGAGGCGTCTGTCCAGGAGTGATGCTTTTTCTGCATGAAGAGAGAGCGAAACTTTGCGTCTACTTTTGCCATTCATGGGCTCATTCAAAAAGACATTAGTTATTGTGTACGCGTGTCTTGGTGACTCCATATTTCTTAGAAACTTTATGAAATCCTACAAACAATTTTATATTTTTGCTAATTTCAACATGGATTGCTCTGTCTTCGTTCGTGAATTTGGCTGCTATTCGGAAAATGAAAGCTCTGAAATAAGCCTGGAAATCGTTACACAAACTTTTGTCGTGGCTCAACTCTGTTTAATCCCTTGTAAATAATTGACGTTTTTTTAGTAAATGAACTTGCTTGTCGAAGTTGCTTGAAGTAGGTAATCTAATTTTGTGGTCCGCGGCGATCAGTGGAATTTGTCATATCCCTTTTCAACTGCCATTTATTAACATTTAGCAAGCAAATTGGTGCACCGTTATGTAATTTTGGTGTTTGCAACTTATTAATGCCCGGGCCTAGCTGGCCGTTCGTGTCATGCGGTTGATGACCATAAAATGGTAAATTCAGTAGGTAGAGGATTGCGGCGTCGTGTAGATTGCATGACACCTCTGTCTTGTGGATTTCTCAAGAGGTGCTTTACATTTATGGCATTTGCTGTTGGCAAATTCTATCGAGAGGACATTTTATTATTTTATATTTTGGTATTCGTTGTCTCACTAATTTTTTTCTGAGTTCTATTGACTTATCTACCAATTGTGGACCATTTAACTTAAATTATGTTTGTACCACCAGACTAGTTTTATGGCTTAAGATTATTTCAGGCATTTGTTATTCATATCCGTGGTCTCATGTGCACCTGTTAAAAACCGAAAAAAGGGAATCAGGATGAATTTCTATTCGTGAATCATAAACCCAGGTTGAAATTATGGCCGGTATGTTTAGTGCTTACTGACACGGCTCATTGTGTTATCCCTTTGAGGGGTGGTTTGTGCACATAACACCTATGACGAGATCGTAAATAGTAGAGGTGTCCAATACAATGCCTATTGATCTGCTGCTTGCCAAGCCAATTCTTATGCTTAATTGTTACTGTTTCGTAACTCGCCTTGCTCTCATCCGTATGCTGCTCAGTGCTGATTGCACGCTTCGCCTTGTTGGATGTCGAATTCCCCTGGACATTTGCGGTTGAATGGCTTCCAGTCACGGTGTTACACTCGTAACTCTCTCACATCTCACCAGATTAGACGTCCGCGTTCTCTTCAATAGAGTCTATTTACCACCTAAATAGTGTCCTTTTGGTCTTTCACTTTACGGTTCGTTTAAAAGTTTCACATTTTTTTGAAAGTCAGAAGCGTAAATAGAATTAATTTTACTAAATTATAATATTGTCTTGGAAAAGAATGTTTCATTACCCAACGTAGCAGAAAAACTCGAACGTCTTTTAATGAAAAACTCTTGGGCGGAGATTTTTCAACTAGAAGGTCTCTTGTTTTTTGACATTTGGAACTCCTTTTGTTTCATTTAAGGACAGATCCAGGTGATGTAATGAGTCCAAATGACCTCACAGCCAGTCTTTTAAGTAAGTCTTCTTAATGCTTGCGGCTTCTCATTGTTTCTTGTTGCTTAGGTTCTGATAGCGTTGCAAGAATGAATTCGACCCACATTATTAAAATTTTGTGTTCAGACATGTAGTTTATTTGTGACATAAGTCATGCACTGTCAATTTCAATTGAAGTTTGTCCATTTAGTCATAATTAGCTTTGACTTTGCCTTTTCCCGCTAACTTAATGCATATTTGCAATCAATGGTGATAATTCATTAGACCATTAATGTCAAGAATGGTTGGAAACAGCTTATTTGCTTTAAATGGTTATTTTATGTGCTCTTATTAATTCTTCAACTCCCATTCACAAATTTGAACGAGGAACGTGACCTGGATTAAGATTTCTTACTTTCTTCAGAATCTCTTCGTGTTGCGGACTCTGAAGATAGCTCTATTCAAGTTAATGGATGGTCACAGCCACAGACACCTACAGATGGTGTGTTGGAGCAGCTTCAGGAGATGTTTCCACATTTGCATCTATCTTTCCTTCAAGAGCTGGTCAACTTAACAGACGGGGATTTCGAATACGCGGCCGCGATTGCCGCTGAGAATGAACACCAGCCTGTGTTGGAGGCTTGTGAGAAACGCGGGGTACTACCATTGAATCCGCCTACGTCAGTGGACGATTCAAATCCAGATGAACCGGAGAAACTGCCTGGGGAAGATGGTCTAGCTGATAATGTGCCAGTTTTAGTACCCACTAAACCACCCGAAAAAAAGTTCCAGGTAGAAAAGGAGTTTCCTCCCATTCAACTATCTCGTCGCTTTTTGAAATCTACATACGATCTTTATGCTGTTGAACTTGGTCTTCCAAAGCTGATGATCGGTACATTCATTCTATATGCTAGTTTTTTACGAGTAGTATTGTAAAACACTTATCGGCGTTTGTTAGATTTTGATGAATTGCCGGAAGAAGTGTTCTCTGAATGGATCCCGGAAAAGAACATTTCACAGCAAATTTTACTAAGCTTTTTGAACCAGCTCGGTTGCTTTCAGAGACGTGTGAAAAATAAAGCAGTAAAACAGCCTTTAAAGGGTGAGTATTTGCTCCAACTTACCGGGAAAACGGGCGAGGCGTTATTTTCTGTGATTTTTTAATCTAGGAAGTGCAGTATCCGCACATCTGATTGGCCAGATAAATGTCAACAACCCCAATACTCCCGACCTAGAGAGTGTCATTATTGAAGAATCGGCTGTTCGATTGTCAGTTGAGGAGCAGCGGAAGGTAAAGGTTTGACAATCTCTTCACGTGTTTACATCGGCCATCTTAAAATGGAAAAAAAATACGCATTTTCAATTTAAATTAAAGTAACGCAGCAGACGGATTTGTCACATTTCTACAGCTCTCAACATGAATCCAAAGTATGTGGTAGCCAACTTGACAATTAAACCTGTTTTCTCACTAATGAACAGTTCCCGTTTGAAATATTTGTATTTATAATGCTGTAAAATGCATTGTCATCAACTTCATGTTTTCGTAAACACTTTCTAGCTGGCGCTATTTATTAATCCCAACTTGAAACGTTATGTTTGAATTGTTATAGCAATGCATGTCACCAGCATAATTACCAGTTGGTTTCTTTTTTGGTTAAAGCATTTTGAGATGCCCCACGCACAGGAAGCTCTGCAAACTCTCGTGCAACAGCATCCAGGCATTGATCGGGAGATCATCATGGAAACACTAGTTCGATGCGGGTAAGTTTATGTTGTATTTCGCTCGCTTTGTTATTGGAAACGGACCTTTACAACATATTTCATATTTTCACTTTTTCTCACCGAATACCTTTTACCGATCCAATTTATTTGGTGGGAATTCACGATAGGTAAAAGCCGCTTGTTTTTACGACTAAATCGTGCACGGGGTTTAGTTTTAGGCTAGCAACTTTTATTGACTCGTAATATGCTGAAGCGTGTTTTGTCAAATGCGTTCCAATTCTAAGGGTTATTACCGTAACCTGTAGTGGAGTGTAGAATCTTGTTAAGACAAGTTTATGTGAGGATGAAGATGACATCTGCGATTGCCGATTACCCCCGTCGGCCCTCACACCCAGGTGATGGTTCACAAGGCCCCCACAAATGCACTCGCGCACACACCTACAGAGTGCGTTGTCGCGCCCGTCTGGCTCCGTCGCCTTTTCGGCGCTCCGAGTGCTACCACTACCACCGCTATACCCATCGCACCGATTGAGTGCACGCAGACTGATGCACTTGCGTATCGCTTCACACCGTCCCCTGTGGCTCACCTCCACACGCCACACACGCATTTCGTGTGCACAGCAGGTCCAATTTGATCTACTAGAATAAAAGTAAAATCAGCGCTTCATTTCCGACACAAATCCACTGTACCACCTAAGTAAACATCAGGAATGCTAACTGTTTCGTTGTTATCTAACATGATTTCATGCATGCACACTTGTCATCACCAGATGGTGTCCAACAGCCTTGAGAGTTGGTCACCAATATCCAACAGGCACGAGAGAACACAACCACCAAGGGGACCACGTCGGATGTCTGACTGCCTTATTTCTTTAATGAAGGTGGAGAATGCCAACCCCTTGTCTCTGTCACTTTTGCAGGTACGATTTTGACGCAGCAACCGCGTGTTTAGTGGCCGGAATTTTGGATATGACGTCGTTCAGTGAAGCATCGTCCACTTCTGAATTTAAAGCCTCGTCATCGAAGTTTGTTGCAAAACCTGCCGGCGAACAAACACCTCAAAAGCCAAATGAAGAAAACTTGAGTCTAAAAGAAATCCTTGAGGAAGGGCAGGCCATTCGTCGCTCTGTAGCGGATCAGGCCAAGGTATAGCTAATCAAATGTGTTTTGTTTCGCTAAATTTATGTCTTCTCTTCAGCCTTCTAAAATTCCTTCCACCTCGTCCTCCTGTAATCAAAAGCTGACCGCGGTTTTATCTCCTCCGTCTTAATTTACTACCTAAAATGTATTAGCCGCGTATTCTTCTAGAAAACTGCCCGCTTATTGCATCCCGCTTATTGCAACTTAACACAGTGGTTAAGCCTTTCTATTTAAAATAATGCTTCGAACAGAGAAGTGAAGCCAATGGAATCAGCTCATGTTTGCAATCTGCTCATTGGCCCACACTGAGGTGGAACCCTAAATGGGGTATTCACAGTCGTTGTGTCTCTGTAATAGCATGCTGCAAGAAGCATTGTCCGCTTTTAGCGGACCTCGAAGCTTTTGCTTGGCCTGCATCAATGCTAGCGAACTGAGGAGCCTTCAGGATGTTAATTTGCTAAGACGTCAGAAGATCCCTTTTTATATTCTCTGGCTCCTTAGTGTCCATGACTTTGTTTTTCAAAAAGCCATTCCACTCATGTGTTATAGAACACCCAAAAGCTGGCTGTACAACTAACGCTTCATCGTCTCGCTGGCCGTTTCCCGAGCTTCACCAAACCATACTTAGTGGAGTTACTTGTTCAATTCGAGTACGTTGATTTGAGGCATTAGTTACTTAACTATAATCAGTAAGGTGTATTACTAACTTGGTTATTGCTCAGTTACGACGAAGAAAAGTTGCTGAACTACCTCGAGACCGAAGGCTACGACCCACTTCCTGTGCCTCCGCTGATTCCGCAAGCGACAACAGATGGTAGGACTACATCGAACAATTCGACCATACTTCCGGTGGATGATGCCATGCAGAGCCTGCAATTACTTGAAGCAGAGATTGCAGACATTAGGGAAAATATGTCTAATCTGAAAGATATCATGTCCAAGGCCTATCGTACACACTCTCACCCGGGCGTAATAGCCTTCTACAACGATGAGGTATGTGGAGAAGATACCAATTCTGTAACAAAATCTTGCGGTTTTATGTGTATACTTTGATTGTGTTTTGGGGTCTAAAGCCTCTAAATCGGTATGGCATGTTGTGTGTGGCATTTGAGACACGTTACTCTCTGTTTACCTTGACTACAACTGATTTGTTTTCGACTTAAGACACTTCCTAGACTTTGGTTCAAACAGTGAACTTCATTAAGACATGCAGTTGCCGACTGGATCCTGCCAGTTATTGTTGGTAATAGGTGCGAAAACACTGCTTTAATTTACACGTAGGTGACTTCATTATAGTGTCATCTGCAATCCACAGCGAGTCACGTGCACTGCCTGCTCACTCGTTCAGTTGGCAACAGAACATGTTCACGCTCGTGCTCCAAGTTCATGTATAGCGGGCTATCAAATGTGGTCACGTGCAGTATATAAAAGTTTACCCAAATATTGTCATTTGATTGTCACAAGTATTGGTCGTAATGTGGCTCTAAGTTTGCGATGAGAATTTTAGTGGTGTGGTTCAATCCTGACACTCCGAATACGAGGAATGCTCTTTTCAGTAATGCGCAGAAGCTTCGTTCATTTAATGAACATGTTTGGCTCTCCACAGCACGCTCTAGTTTAAGTTTTAACCAATGCCTTTTGATCCACTACCTCTATTTCTGCAAAGGTCACTTTTTTCGTGCTTCGATGAGTTCAGGAATGCGCTTATTTGAAATTCCACCTAGCCGTTATTTGCAGGCATTCTGGACGCTAGTTTGTCGTTTTTGATTTTACAATTGTCATTTCTTTGTATAGTTGCACAATGTGTTTGTCTATGATTGAAAGCGTTCACGCAGCTGGCTCCGAGTAAGCACAGTTTTTTTCTACTTGAAATCTCTAAGGTGTAGTCATCGAGTCTTGGACCATCTAATTCGGGCACCAGCCCAACCAGGCCGTAACTGTAAACCAGGTATCGACCAGATCGACGTACAATGTCTGCTTTACATTGGTGAGACTGGAAGGCATGTAATTAAACGAGTCAATCTAGGCGTATGAGTATCACCACCCCACCTACACCGTCTAAATTACTTTTTTTCCACATGCTTCATCTAGGATTCACAGGTTATTTCCGCCAATTGATTTATTTCAAAAGCCCGTTTTTATAACAAAGACTCCTATAGGCCTTTTGACATGCGCGAAGCATTTTATCAATATGTCCTAGCCTTGTTCGTGTCGAGCAGAATAATGCATGTTATAATCATTTCAGCTACGAAAGCTAAGGCTCCGGCTTGATCATCGTCTTGATCTCTGCAGTGACTTGCGTGTCACTATAGGATCCCAAAAACACGCAGCTGAGAATTCCAACGCCGAGAAGCAGGATTCTCGTGGAGTCGCTCGTCAGTGGCTCTCTTTTATCGACCTGCACGGTCTTGACTTGCGTCGCGCCATGCATGCCCTCCGGCGACGCCTTACCCTCCTCGAGTCAAGCCACGCTCCCCCGGGGACACCCCTTCCCCCTGGCGGCCAGACCTTGCCCAATTCCTGGCTACCGAAACGCCTCACCATAGTCACTGGTTGGGGCTCGAAAGCACTTTCTCTAGCCAATCAAAAGCCCTACTCCATCCTTAGACAAAATGTGCTTAACTACCTTCGTACTTCTGGCTACAGCTTTGTGGAAACGCCCTACCTAGGATGCGGCTGCTTCGAGGTTCAACTGGGTACAAGGAAAAGGCAGCTTTAAGACATCGATGCTTTTTGCACCATATTTTATAGGCCAATGTTCTTATATTTTTAGTATTTGTCTAATCGAGAAAATCAACTGGCTTTTAACAGCTTACAGTTTCTTGCATTTTCAAATACGTAGATTTTCGCAATAACGTGGCTAAAAATAATTTGATGTGCGAACCAGGTATCACATTGGACTTGCCTTACTTCAGCTTAAATATCTATGATGCGATTACATAAAGGCAGATCATTGGGAGGTGTTTTTGGGTAACTAAGTAGAAAATGTGCGACTCCGTTTCCTACTGCTTTAGTAAAACTTATTTAAGCCACTTTGGAGTTGCCCGTATTAAAAAAAGTTAAATCAGGTGGCGTTATTGAATATATATTCCAGCCACGACGACGGATCAGTACCAACTACTAAATATCTTAAAGAAAACGTAGAATACTGACTACTTTATAAACACCAAGGAGCCATTGTGCATTACAGTAATGTTCACTTCCAGCGGCCCTGGTAACAAAAAGCTGTACCAACATGGTCTAAGCCTTCAAGAAGCAGTTTGTGTAATCAGACAGGTTCCTCCGAAATTGTAAATGCTTTGAGGACTGTTTCCGTTGTTTAATCGACAGGTCACGATAAAATTGAATTGTTCAGATTTTTTGAATAAAGCAGGAAGGTCTAGGTCATCAAAATATGACGCGAAATCGAACGTTATGACAATGCTAGATAGTCATCGAAAGTGACACACCCAAATCTTTGCTCGCATTGCAATTAAAATAAACAACCGGATTTTCATTTGAGCCGGCTTTCTTGCCCATTGGCGCGTTAATGCAGTGGGCACCCAAGACGAGTGTAGCGGCTTATTACGCGGAAATGTTTCAATACCGAAATGCTTCAAATCAAACGACTTAACTATACTTGTGTCATTATGGTAAGGCACAGAACCCGCATTCTCCCCAAGTTTGAGTGAAATTCCACTGCGTCATGTTGGCCTGCAATTCTGATTTTCCTCCACCGGATTGGTTTTACCGCTTTTGTGCTAAATTCGATTACATGTTTAATTACAATCTACGTAGATGGCAAAGCCACATACAAATAATCCGTTGTGAAAATATTGAAGGATGGAAGACAAGTTTAGCATCCGCATCAAAATTTTAACATAAGGTTCTAGTCATTTGTTGTACAACCACCCACATTCCCTTATTCGTTTACATTTGTCGAAGCCATTGATGCGGAGTCACGTGACTGTACTGCATTAACACAAGCCCAACTAGGTCTAAGAGTTCATGTTGTTGTGAATTGTGTTGATTCAACCTCTTAATCCGATCGCTTCGCCTCCGACACAGGGCTCCCCTTTTTCGCAGCATGGCTCCAGCCTCGCAAATCCTTAACTTCCCCTTCATTCACACGTATATGTATCTTGGATTAACCTCACACCTCGATGTTAGCACATGTATGACTCACACATCCGAGGTATAAATGCACACACACAAACCCCACACAAGAAAACCACGTCTTCGTCAAGTCCACGAATAAACGCTTGACTCTATCCACCGACTTCATCTTTGTTGGGTAACTCCTGATATTAGGCATCCCAACAAATTGGTGACCCCGACGTTGGACGAATATCAGCCTTCTGGTGTCCGAAAAATGACCTTTGTTGTACTGACGTTTGGCGACCTATTACCACAATTCTCCAGACGACGCCAAGTCTCCGTAGGTTACTAAATTCGGGACGATGCCCTTCGACTCCCATGACCTGGCGGCGGCTACCCATCGTTCTGCGACAATCCTTTCATTTCTGTTAGCACAATTCTCTCGCCTTTTTACAACCTGGCCTCATCCATCGAGTCTCTCTTTTTAATCAAAATGGCCGCATTTCTCGACTTCTGACGCTCATCCAGCAGGTATTTTCGACCGATTCTATCCCCTGGTTCCCGACTGTCAGCTGGGTCGAAAGACGCCAACGATATTACGATTCGTCATAATGCACGACTTCTCAAAATTGTGGAAAATGTTGCATCGGCAACAACGATTCATCTCATACCTTCCGCGTACGACAATCCGCCTTATGTCTACTTTCAAATGGGCCACATTTCGACTGCAAAAACCTACGGCCTACCTTTCAAAATCCGCATTGGAAGAAAAGGTTGGCTAAATTATCTTCCTAAGGGAGAAAGTATTCTCGGTACGACCCACATCAACAGCCACATCCCAATCACGCGAAACCTACGACCTACCTTTCAGTGGACGTAAAAGTTCGCCAAATCCTCTCGCTAAGGGGGAGAGCTGTCGTGAATCCTGTTTGTTTAACCTAATCCGATCACTCCAGCCTCCGACACAGGGTCCCCTTTTTCACTGCACGGCGCCAGCCGCGCAGATCCTCAACTCCCCCTTCATTCACACGAATATTTATCTTGAATTATCCTCACGCCTAGGTCTCGATGTTAGCGCATCTATGACTCACGCATCCGAGGTATAAATACGCACGCGCAAACCCGGCATAGGACACAACGACACCAACGAGATTGACCTCTGAAGTAAACGGTTGTGTCCCGTCCTCTCCAGTCTTTTCCTTCATCGAGGGCATCAGGCAAGCGTAATCGGGCCAGGGTTAATTCCGTGGCCCCTGGGATGGTTCAAAACCACATGCTAGGGCCCACAACAATTGGTGACCCCGACGACAACTATGTCATCACTAAAACCACCACTGTTAGCTGACTTGAAAGAAATCCTTCCCTCCTCATCCCACCATGTCTCCACACGCCAAACGTTTCACCTACGGACTGTAAGCTACCTGTGAAAAAAACACCTAAGTCATCGAAATATGTAGAAAAAATTTGAATGTGTCCTCTGGAAAAAATAAACGGGGTGCGTGGGTATACAAAGAACGCAAGCTGGAACACTAGACAAGATGATAGGTTGGCATACGCCTCACAAACAGGTTCTGTGCGTGGGTGTGGGTTCTTGTTGCGCGGAGAGGTTGGGGCAGGATTAACCGAAAACTGGACAAAGCGAATGCAACCGACGAAACACGAAATTCAGATTTATTGGAAGCAAATTTAAGTGCTTTTGGTTTGTTGGTGGCGGTGGCGGGCCAGTATGGACTTAATCGGAAAACACCAAAAGCCCATGTATTGTGTTCGCTCAAAACTGAAAGGCAAAAAGAAAGTACAACTATGGGTAAAGGTTGGAAGATGGTCCGCTCGCCACACTGTTTCCTTCACTAATCCTCTGTGGTAACGTAGAAGCCACCGGAATTGACGGGCCGTGCTTGGACATCCTGGCTGTCCGCTTTGGCAGATGTCTCGCCATTTGGTATGGAGCCAGGAATATCGAAAACAGGGACTTGCCCGTTAGGGAATTCTGAAGGGGGGAGAGTACTCTTCATTTTATAATAGGCCGTCATTCTCGATGTCGCATATTCCTAAAGAAAGGAAAATGTTAAAAATTGAAATCAACAAAGCCATTTTTCATAACAGGGAAGTCAAAGCAAAAACGGAATTTTTAAAGTTAACAAGTAGTTGACCTTGACCCCTTACCGGGGCACTTGTTTGTTCAGTGTAGGAATCGGAGGCCACCTCATCAAGTGGCTTTGTTTAAACTAAGAAAACCGAATCCACTGAAATAGCATGCACTTTTGATATAAATGCACTACATCTAGATCAAACAAAAATGAGAGCATTCGACCTCCCATGCCTATCAAAAGCCGCCCGACATCCATTGGGACTCTGCACCGAGTCGATCAACGGAGTTTCACGGACGCCAAATGGAACCACTAGCAATCCTTCGTAAACTAGAATTGTCGTGTGCTAAGCAATTATCATTGTATCGGGTGAGTGAAAAAGTAATGTATATTTACAGGAAAACCTTAAATACGACTAAATCCACTCGTGAATGTAATCTCCATTACTTTCTAGAACTGCATCTCACCAGTTAGTAAGTTCATGACTTCCACGCTTTTAAAAGCAGAAACGAATGCAACGCATCTTCAATTTCTCGATTAGATGTCAAGCTAGGACCATACACGTGATTCTGCAGTTTCCGAAAAAAATGGTGCTCAGACAGGCTTGTTATTGGTGATAAAATACTAGATTTTCGACCAAAGCGCGAACTACTGCACTTGACATTGCTTAAATTGGAAACATTTGTAAACACATGTCTTACAATAAAACCGAAATCAATGCTTGAAATTTCACTTTGGATAAGGCCCCAGAGGCTCCACCAAATATGAGAGATTAGGGCGCCGTAAGTGGTCTCAATAAGTAACGCCTCCTCCTCTTCTGGTGATAATTCCACCTCCTCGATAGCCTGTATTTCCTCCAATTCAGACAGACGTTGAAGTGAGTAATCGGGTTGATCCCCCAAGTAATCCTCATCATCGCCATTGATGTTGGGAGCGGAAGGGGGGGACTTGAGAAGTGTCGCCACTTCTAAGGGAGGGGGGCCACATACACTGCGCGAATGGAAGCGGCGGTTTTGGATGTAAGTGCCCGGTGTGACGGGAGAATTAAGCCCATGTTTGTACACAGACAGGTACTTGCGCCAAAATGACAGCTGCAGGTAAATAGAGGGAATAAAATCAAAATCAAGGTGCAGACTTCCGCCATCAACTGAAAGTAACCGCAGACTCATCAACATTAATACGAAATTAGGGCAGCATTTGCTACCCAGTTCAGTCAGGCACTCATAACATGAGGTTGCTTGAAGTAGCATTGGACTAAGTGCGATTTCTGACCAGCAATCGTGACACAAACACCAGAAATAGATCACTTGAGAGACAAAAGACAACGCAATTGACACTCATACAAACCCGCTCAACTAGTCTACAAAATGGCATCCGCAACGTGGAACAGAAGGGTATTACGACAAATTTAGCGGACAATTTTACATTTACTGACCATTTCATTGGGTGCGTAATGGCAAATGGCATTGGCAAAACTTTTTAAAATAAAAACACACTTTACATAGTGGAATTTAATTTGCATACTAAATTGCTTTACTGCTGGAAAGAATTGTACGCTCTTATTTGGGTTGACCAATTAATTTGGGACTTTAAGTGTTTCTACGACACATCCGAATGGACCTTTCGATGTCACAACATGCCCACAAGAACACCGAACACCAAGCGAGCCCTAGTCGAGGTCACCAAACGCTTGCCGCATTCTGACGTGGCGAACTGTCTTCGGTAGTGCCGGCGCTCTTGCGCTCCAACAAAGTCAGTGCACGAGCGACGACACTCACTACCCTCGTAGTAACAAAGCGGCATGTTTGGCATGGACACGTATGAACAATTAAGGCTACAGAGCCACGATATTTACACCGTGATCGTGTTTACCAGATAATAGCATTACTACACCCCCATGAAACACGTCCATTTCATCAGGTCCCTATTGCAGAGCAGATCAAAGACGACTGCGGCTATGCAGGCGCGCGTGCGTGCGTGCGCTATAAAAATCCTTCTTAATGCCCTTAAAACGGGTTACACCGAAACACTTCGCCCTCCTGCATATGGATTCTGCTCTACACAGAGGCAAAGGTCTCGGTTCTAGGAAATTGTTCAGTTCATTTTGAATGATGGATTTAGGTTTAGCTGTAAACAGGTGATACCCAATGGCCTTGGTTGAAGTGATAATAAAAAGTTGCCTTTTGTTACGCTAAATGCATAAAATTTGCAGCAGTCTAAAAGCTACGAAGCAATGAAAAAGTCTTTACTTTTGTGCACACAAAGTGGGTGGATATGTATAAGGTGTTTGAGTGAGGGAAGATTCGGGGGCATCAGCAGTATCAGAAACAAGAACCATCTTACCTGGACTTCACGAGAAGGATAGGCATCTGGCAAATATAAGAAGCCAGGGGCATGAGGAAAATTATTGTTGTATGTCCACTCATTAAAGAAGTTGCCGACATCGATACAACTGGAAAAAATAAGTAGATTTGGAAGGTTACCCACTCTTGAAATTCATGCCACTAAGCTTTGTGTCACTCGGAGTGCGTTATGCCATTAAAAAGAAGTTTATTAAATAAGATACCTAGAAAAGTCTTTCAAGACCAATTTGGACTGGTAAAATGATTGATAAAACTGGAATTTACAATAACCTGTAAAGTGTTTTCAGACATGAATGATATCTGAGCGTCCGCATCAAACGGCCGTGCTTCGAGCTTAGTGGTAGCAACCTCGTCGCATTTAGTGATTGCTGGTGCAAACGGCAGGACGAAATGGAGCCTGGGTTTGCATGTGTTACATAGTTGACTGCGTAAGATCCAATGGCCATACATTGGCGATGATTGTCACGCAAGTATGGCTATTCGGGCGCCCTGGGCTTAATTCCTAAGCGTCTTTTCAGTAATGCGAAAACAAAAGCTCGCTTCTCACTGAAGAGTACTAGGACATGCTGGATGAGCAGTTTGTACCAGACTCAGTCTATGGTGAAATGAGTACAATGAGAAATGAACTTACCGGAAATTGTAACTGCAGTATTCATAGTCGATAGTCAGAAGCCTGTACCAGCCTTGTCTTGAAGGATCCTTATAGAGCAGCAAGTTATCTTCATAAAAAATAGTACAGTTTTTAGAAGAGAAAAGGGGTGTTACTGAAGGTGTCTATTGACAATGTCACTTAGCCTTTAAACAAATAAAAAAATGTTACTTTCTGTTGCGAAACCCGAAATCTAGGTAATGTATTGACGTTTAACCACTTGATTACAATCGGTTGTGATAGAAAAAAACTTGAATCTGCAACAGCAAACTAGAAAGTCAAAAGGTGGAGACGGTGCATTCTAGACGCTTTGAGGATTTCGATGGGACAGCAAAGCAACAAGTTTTCTGTACACCTATGTGCCTTGAATCTGAGGACTTGTCAAACTTGGATTAAAAAGAATATATCGATTATTGCGACAGATTAGAATTTAATTAATTTAACAAGGATTTCTTTTTAGCTGAAATGGGATCCAACCCCAACCAAATCAAGCAATATTTACCAACGGAGCTTAAAGTGGCATATTCTATATTGCATTGGAGTTTGAAACAAATAAAAAAGTGGAGAGGGAAGGAATACAGGTTCTACATCAGCTTCCAGTTGAGGGTAACAATTAGCGCACAACTACCTACAGCTCACTTGCATTCAAGCTTGAAAGAGACTTATTTTTTTAACAACCTGTTAGAGTAGATGATAATTGGGTTTTTCATGAGTTCACTTGGAAAAAAATGGCTAAAACGAAGGCAACCACCACCACTTACAGCACAAAGAGCTGCTTTAATCTGTGTAGTAGAATATTGCAGAATTACCTATTATGAAGTTCTGAATCAAAGTCCTAACTAATGAAACTATTTATACCAAGTTTGAGAGGAAACATTAGTTTCAAAAACGAACGCGACCGGATAATCTATAGTGTGCTGAATCAAACGTCACACCACAAACCATTCATGGAAATGGGATGGGAAGCCTTGTCTTACCTACCACAACATTCCCCAGATGTTGCTCTGTCAGACTACAAACTTTTAAGACCAATGGAGAACTTTTTTGTGGGGCAAACTTCACCAATGCGGCAGCCACCCAAACCGGACGCGAAGAATATTTTACTTTGAACCCATGAAAGAACCGAAAGGGTGCCAGAGCGTTGACAAGATTAGCAATAACGGAGCAGTTTATGTTAAAGACAAAATTTGCACCAATTGTCAAAATTTGGTGTAGGTATTATCCACCGGGATCAATTATGGGTATCTCACAAATTGATTCCGGGGGACATTAAAAATCACGGATCCTTGCGTACATAATGGAACGCCGTGTTCAATACTACCACTAATTATCACCATAATACGCTTGAAATGAGAATGTGACGTTCTGAGAACAGTCAAGATGGTCTACTGAATCGAATAAAATTCATAATGAGGTGGCATGAAGTATGCTAGTGTGTTTAATCGCAACAGCAACAACAAGGCTATAATGTGCCAATAAAAGTCCTTCTTAATGTAGCCCTTCTTTTCAGTTCAATGAAAATTTGATGGAGTCCAAGTAGCTGTTTGCATTAAAAGAGAATTTTAAGAATGAAAGTGCTACTGTACAGAAGACGACCTACTTTCTTGGATATCGTTATGACAGAACCGCACGGGAAATCGTTCCAGATTGCCAAAGAAAGTAGTCCTTAAAACAGACAAATGTAATTCGATAACGGGGTTACAAAAGCACTAGATGGACAATCAAGGTAACTCAAAATCTAGGAGCCAATCACCTTAGTATCACAATCGGCTTCTACTCTCGCAGTCCCCCTTTTGCTGACTAGTTAAACTCTCAGCTGATTAACATAGGAACAGATTGGGATGCACGGAAATAAGAAAACAAACTGACAGGGGCAAAAAATTAAAATCAATGGGTAGTGGCACAAATTTTAAGCGGAAAACCTGATTTACATGGAGGGAACTAAGTCGACGAGGGCCAACACGTTAACGCTCATCAATGTAAATTAATGAGGCAAAGTTGCAGCTTCGAAAAAACTGGCAAACAAATAAGTTAAATTGCAATTTTAAAGCGATCGACGAATGGACAAGATAAGTGGGTGTGCTAGTCTGTTGATACGTTAACATTGCTTTTTTTGCGGAGCGAAGAGGTTACACTTGCCTTAACCACTCGAACTCCTTAACAAGCTTCCAATCATTGACAAATTTGAAGAGGTGTGCCTGTGGCTCGTGAATCGAACCAATGGACGATGTCGAGCCGAACAGCTGTGAAATCGTCAGGGAGCCGGGAGGAGGGTTGTTAATTAGGACATCGTCTGGCAGGCAACTTTCTGTCGATGCCGTAGAGCCAGTCGTTCCGTTGCCGTGGTGAACAGACGGTAGTCGGCGGGAGGGAGGTTCTCGCGCGCCCGTGAGTTGCTGGAGAAACTTCGCCATCGTTTTGAAGAGGAAGGTGGGCATTTTGGGCAGAGGCAGGACCAGACCATGGAGTACACCCATGTGCAAAGCGACGCAATCGGAAACTGTTGGAAGTGTCAGTTCTGCTGTTGTCAGGGTTCGGGACTGGAGAAAACACGAAACGACAACATATAGGTTTACGTGTGCCACATAGCATTACATACGTATTGGATTCTAATGAACAAAAACACATGTAAGAACAAGAATTTTTTACAATTTTATCAAAGCACTTTGACCCGAGATAAACAGATAACTAGTAGTCAGTAAAAAATCCTCCGACATCGAGGCAGAATAGTTTCTGAGATAGCCATGCAACTAGTTATTTACCGAAGGATAGGGAATTCAATGCTAAACTTTCAATCCAAATGACTTAAATTTAGACGCGTAAGCATGCTTACACACGAGTATCACACCAGAAAAGAAGGCACCTCCACCATGTTAAACGTGGACTAAAGTGTCATCACAATGGAGGACTCGCAAAAAAAAAATAGCAGTGCTGATTCTTTTCATCAATTGATGCAACAATCGGCATTAAATACTGCCAGGTTTTGAATTGCACGACATGGAGTGCCTACACCAATTGATGCAAAATGAAGTGACTTCTAGCAAAATAAGTTTTCTAGCACTTGGGGCAATTCTTTCCTTACCCAAACACTACTCAAACTCAACAACGCCCAACCTTAGCATAACGAGGATGATGAAGGCGCAAATCGGCACTGGACTCAATCAAGGAGAGAGTGATGTGTAGTCGTCCCTTTAAGATGGCGATCTGAAGAATTGTTTCTAAAAGGTTGTATCTGTCAATGAGCTAACCAACTACTCTACAAACACAAATGCAAATCTGTTAAGGCTTGCGCTGCGTTTAAGTATAATGCTTCAATTACTCAATTGAAATCTACGCAATACCCTTCTGGAAATTTAACCAAACTAATGTAGAGAATAGGGGATGACCCAGTTATCATGTCACCTTGCAGCAGTTCTGCTGCAAGCCTTTGAAGAATTAAGGATCAGAATCACGTAATTTCATACTTAGAGAGGTTGTAGGCATTTAGATAGATAATAAGCATCACCTAGGAAAGCAGCAAAGACATAAAGGAAAACAAAGCGAAGTTCGAGTGAAATTTTGACATAGCACATTCCTACACTATGCGGAGAGCGTAATACTAAAAATGGGGAAGAATCAAAATTGGCGCAATCAATACAAGCCTGTTTACCTATTTTTATTCAATGTGTTGATTAGACGATGCGAACTTGCGCTGGACATCGCATTCTTGAAAGAAGAGAGCAATACATTCTACAGAATGTGATTTGTGTTGATCATCACCTGGACATTGACCCAGTCGTAGCTTTCATGTGCACAAATAGAACTTGCAATTTATGTTACTGTCCTGAATTAAAAAGACTGAGTCGCATCAGCCTCCCACCCGACGGAATGCAGTGCCTCTACGTGATTATGGAAAACTACATCCACCAGACCAAATAGAAAGGGGTTTTAGCCCTTGAAAATAAGGCGATTCACGTCGCTTCACTTTTTAACAAATTTTCAAGGATTTCCCTTGCAAGGCTGATGGCAGAAATAACACCACGACTGTAGCAGCCTAGTCAAGTAATTAGCAGCACATTACTTCTTGTTGTAACTGTTTCACCGAATAGCTAGCCTAGCAATGAGACCATCTTAGAAAAGTATGCATGATGATAGTATGTATGAATGATACTAAAGGGAGACTGAACCAATGCGGAATTTTCTAAGTGGAAGAAAAAGACGCGAGGCTTGCCCTACTGGCGCAGACGCTTATACTACGGATAATATCAAACGGTGGATTTACTGGATTCGTGGACATGTTGGAAAATAGACAAACATTTAAGCCAACAACAAAAAAGCGTTCATAATCTACCGCTCCAAATAAAAAATCAACGCTCTTTCAAAACTCACTCGGAGGAGCGTGGTGCATGCCGGAATTGTACACAAGGCTTTATTAGCTTGAAACATGACCTCTCCGTTCATCACATAAAGTTAACGCGACAAAAGTTAACGTGACGTTAGAATTTCGACAAATCTACGGAATAATGGGTTGGTGAAGGGAAAAGACGAAAGTGGCACATCGGCAAAGAAAGTACTAAGCTAAAACAGAATGTAATACCTATAACACATTAATCAAACTCAGTTAAGACGACTATTTCAACAGAACCAACAATTTAAGAATGCTAATTTAGGAGTAGCTATTCAAGAAAGCGCTCCCAAAGCAGACAGCCAGAGGACGACTTGAACACGGTGACTATTTTATGGGATGGGATCAAAATGTCGCGTAGTAAGAGTCAATAGCACCAGGCAATTGTTTTGATTACATTAAATACGACATAACCTAAAATTGAATGAGAGAAGCAATCACTTGGTTCTGCTTATAAACGACAAAAAAGACGAAATATTTCGATATCAAAGGAGTATTTGAAGCCACACAAAAGTCCTAACGGAAGGGTTGATTGCAAAAGCCGATCTGCAACCGGTAAGACATCGCGCAGTGTCAGTCCGTGCCACCAGACCACAGCGTTGATTTCACCATGAAGTAACAAATAACACAAGGTAAAGGAGGTAAACGCCAGAGGGAGGTGAGAGCTGCCCAACAAAATGGCGGCTGTTTCCCCGTGACGGCACCAGACCATGCGTCCCCGTGGCAACGCAGCAACACTCGGCAGGATTCGCCTAGATCTTAGGTGAGTCACAATATACCCGGAACATCTTAGCTCACAGGCTGTCCGAGCTCCAACTAAACTTGATTAGCTGGTCATCCGGTGCTACTTTCTCCCACCAAGGTACCCACAAAGTTATTCCTCCCGCGGATTTAAATGGAATTTAGCTCCGAGTCTTATAACACGGGGATAAGTTGATTTTCTGAAAGGTTTACAACACCTTCTAGCATCTGCACAAAATTAAACGCAATTATGGGTCGCGAAATAGAATGCCTAAACCCAATCCTGCCCTAAGCTATCAACGACGAAAGTCGGGGTCTGACTAAAGGGAATCAACAGCACAAACACCTGCACAATAATTAATGACTGTTTCCTGAATGAACCTATGAATGGCAAACGTTGAAGCAAAGTTCAACGAAACAATCCCAAGATAGAGCAATGTTTTTCCTAACTTCGTGTAGCAATTGTATCGCTTACGGACAGACGTCTTTGATTCAAACACCGCAGTGGCCAAACAAGATTTCGCCGGACTCGGCCCATACCCTACGGCCCCTCTGTGACTGGCCCTGTTGTGAGCCCCAGCATGTGGTCTTAAACCACACCATGGCCTCCAAGTTGAAGTTAGCCCGAAAACGTTACACAGATACTCGCGACAATAAAGAAGACCGAAGATGGTGAAAACATGACCGTTTACAAGATAACCAAGTTGTGATGTGGCTTTTGCGTGTTCGTGTTTATAGCTTCGACGTGTAAAAAAGCGGAGTCATAGGTGTGCTAACATCAAGGCTTGGGGGGGGAGGGCGTGTTATTAGACGTAGTGAGAATCGAAGACTAAAATTCGTGCTAATCACGTGTGAGTTAAGGCTCCGCATAGGTGACGACGTGCTGTGAAATGGAAGCGCCCGGATTAATAAGCGCGAATCAAAGCGAATCGAAACAGCCTAAACGGTGGCATAAATGACCATGTCTAATTGCAGAGAGAACTGCCACCTCATGCAACTTCATTGACGAAGTTGCCCTTTTCATCATTATAGCAACGAGCAACAAATCGGTCAGCACAACTTGCGAAGGCTGTCCTCGCTTGACGAAAAACAGGTAACACGAGACGACATAAACACCAGCATCAGTGCCATTCCAATCAATTGTTCCCTTTAATCCGCATCACGGATTATATACCATTGCAATTCACGTGCACGTTTAATGTTAGAATGACGTCCTGCAATTTGCTTCTCTACAGCTTCCGGTGGTCGCATTAAAAATCATATAATGCCATTATATAAACGTTAGAAGCTGACCCTATCCCCATTACTAGCGTCTGTGAAGAAGCGGCTGATGTAAATTGATGACAGAAATGGTAACTGCAAAACGAGACAGTAATCCTTAAGGCCAATACTACCGCGTTCTGACATCCATGAATGCGCAGGATCGAAACGGTTAGCGTTATTTCGAAATAGTTAAGTTAAACACACCCAATCAAAACTACGCCACCTAATTTGACTACGGTTCTGATATCACGGAAACTTAAAAATACCACCAATCGATACGGACAAAGACAGAGTACCTAGTGAGCGTTCGCTGGGTCAAGTTTATTTTGTATACTTTTGTGGGTAAATGAACAGCCTGAACGTTATACTGGTCATGCCAATGGTAGTTAAGGGTGAAATTGGAGGCCAGTCAGGAAAGTAACTTAAAAATATGACGGTACAAAAAGAGGACCATGGAAAACAGAGTGGCACATTGAGTAGTCATCGTAGTTTTGCTCTAGGCATGGACACCGTACGCTAACGGACACCTCGTTGGGCTATATTTTCATGTTTACCACCCAACGCGTCTTTAGTGGAACCCCGGTTGTTGTATACAGGGCAAACTAGGAACGTTCAACAAATCTGGTTAATTTTGAAATCTAAGACATGCTAGAAGCTAAAAGTGGTGCAAAGCAATGATTCTACTTGACTATCCAGGGATCTGCGAAAACAATTTCACCACGAACCAGTCAATTTATATCGAACTAGGCTGATTAAAACAACACCAACACAAAACAACGTCGAGAAGTTGAAAACTAAAAATGCACAATTTACAAATTAACATATGAATCTACCGAGCAGGATGACGGCCACTGTGATGCTTTCACTTGAGTCTGTTGAAAAGTCAGTGGTTATAAAAAGAGGTTGTAATGCATCATTATGGTTGCGATATCGTGTTCTGCGTCGGTTTCTCGGTGGAGATCAAGCGAATAAGTACCATGCAATCGTAAAGTTAGATTATTTGAGTATTTACGCAAAGTAGATATGTTCGATTAGTTTACTACCGAATTAGCCTGTTGTAATCAGCTAGGCAAATTGCAAGGATAACCTTAATAAATTGCTGCTTTTGCCGTGTGCATGCCACGGTTGTGAGTGTGTGGATTTAGGCAACGC